AAGAATCCAGGTTTAATTCCCACCACTACAAAAAAAAAAAATTTTAAAGAATTTTTTTTCATTACAGCATTATAGTTATATGTATTAATTAGGTTTATTTTGAAAAAATAATACATGGTTCAACTTGATTTGCTCCCTTTCAATTCTCATTACCTTCTTTTATCTCCATCCTCCCTCCCAATATTCTCCTTCCTCTACTAATCATCCTTTCATATATTTATTTATTATCAATTGGTGCTCTCTACATATACATAAAGGTGTAATTTATGGTGTTAAGTTTATATATGCACATAATATTGTTTTGTTAAAATTCTTCTCCTTTCCTGTCCCTTCTCCCTCTCACTCTCTTTCTAATCTTCCCATATCTTTATAATATCTAAGCCTCCACTTTCCCCTTATTTTGTTCTAGCTGCCACATATGAGAGAAAACATTTGATACTTGATTTTTCTGAGTTTAATTTATTTCACTTAGCATTACATTCTCCATTTCCATCCATTTACTGGCAGATGTCATAATTTCATGATCTAAATCTTCTTTATGGCTGAATAAATATCATGTGTATATGTATATGTGTGTGTGTGTGTGTGTGTGTGTGTGTGACATTTTCTTAATCCATCTATTGATGGGCATCTGAACTGTTTTCATAAAATGGCTATGGTGAATTGTGCTACTATATATATAAAAGTGAGTGTATCAACATATAGGTTTTGTAAATTTATATTTTATTCTAATTTGTTATTTATGACATCAGAATACATTATATTTCATATTACACACATAGAATATCTCTGGTTGTACACAAAATATAGTCACACCATTTGTGTCTTCATGCATGTACTTAGGGTAATGATGTCATCTCATTCCATCATCTTTTCTACCCTATGCCCCTCCCTTCTCCTCAAAATATAGTTTTAATCACATTGAGTTATGTATATATAAGAAACACTTGACAGATACCCAGTATTCAGGGCTATTCAGACATGTTTTTTAATACAAATATAAATAAATCATAAGTAGAAAATAATAACACTTCACTAAGGATCAAATATGTATATGTGTGTGTGTGTGTGTATATATATATATATATATCTCCATGGCATGTTAATGTAAATATTTCTTATTATGGAAAAGAAGATTATTTATTTTTTTAATTTTTTTTTAGTTGTATTTGGACAAAATACTTTTATTTTATTTACTTATTTATATGTGGTGCTGAGGATTGAACCCAGTGCTTCACACATGCTAGGCGAGTGCTCTACTGCTAAGCCACAACCCCATCCCAGAAGATTTTAAAAATATCACTTATGTTTGTGTTTGCCCTTTTTTACTGGCAGTGGACTTGATTCTTCTGTGCCTACTGTAAAAATTTATTTCTTTTTTATTCTGGTAAAATATACATAAAATTAAATTGACCATTACAATCATCTTTAAGAATACAATTTAGTACTAGATAGTATATTCACAGTGTTGTAAAACAATTACATCTATAAAGTTTCTGACAGTTTATATATAAAAAAGAACCAGTGCCTTCCAACACCCATTCCCAATTTCTTCCCTAAGGCCCTGGAATGACTAAAATGCATTTTTTTCAATGCATTTGCTTTGTCTTAAAAAATTTTACATAATTTGACATATGCAGTGTATGGCAAGCTCTTCTAATTTCTTTCCCTTAACATAATGCTTTCAAGGCCATCTATGTTGCATATTTTAGTATTCTAATTAAACTCTTGATGAATACAATTCTACTGTGTGGACATATCAAATTTTAGTTAGCTGTCATGGTTATTATTTTGACATCTGCAGTACTGTGGATAAATCCAGGTATACTCTACCACTGAGCAACACTCACAGACTTTTTTCTTTTTGAAGCAGGGATTCCATAAACTTGCTCAAACTTGAGGTTTCCCTACCTATCCTCTAGAGTTCCTGGGATTCTAGGTTGCACCACTATGCCTGGCAGTTATCAGTTAATCTTCTATTAGACATATGGGTTGTTTGCAACTTTGGTTATTTTGAATAATTCAACTATAAATATTCATATGCAAATTGTTTTCTAAGTACATTTTTAGTTATTTTTGTACATGTCTGGGATCAATTCTGTTCATTATGTAATTCTGTGTTAGTTATTTTTTATTATTATTTACATATTTATCATTTAGAATACATGAAGGTGCTTTCCACAATACTTGCACCATTTTGCATTCTCTCAAAGATGTATGGAATATTCAATTTTTCATAGCCTTGATATTTTTTGTTTGTTCAGTTTTAGGTTTTGTATATTTTAATACTTTTTTGTTTACAGTACACAGTATAATATTTAGATTAAACCACCTCCCATGTTCTTGGATGGTGAGAATCAATATTGTCATAATGGCCATACTACCAAAAGAGCTATGCAGATTCAAGGAAATCCCCATTAAAATTCCTATGATCTCTTCATAGACATAGAAAAAAAGCAGCCATGAAATTTATTTGGAAAAATAAGAGGCCCAGAATAGCTAAAGCAATCCTTAGTGAGGAGTACAAAGCCTGAAACATTATAATATCAGGCCATAAATTATAATTCAGACCTACAGTAACAACAACAAAAAATCATGATATTGCACAAAAGTACACAAGAAAGCCAATGGAACAGAATAGAAGAAACCAAGACAACCCCACATGAATACAGTTACCTCATATTAGACAAAGATGCTAAAAATGCACACTGGAGAAAAGATTGCCTCTTCAACAAATGGTGCTGGGCAAACTTAAGTCCATATGTAGTAGAATGAAAGTTAATTTGTATTTCTCACCCTGCACAAAAATCAACTCTAAGTGGACCAAAAACCTAGAAATCATACCAGAATGTACTAGAAGAAAACATAGGCCCAGCACTCCAACCCATTGGCACAGGAACTGACTTCCTGAATAAGACTCTAAAATAAATGAATGAATGATTGAATGAATGAATGAATGAATGAATAAACAAACAAACAAATAAATAAATAAATAAATAAGATGGCATCAAACTAAATATCTTCTTCACAGCAAAAGAAAAATAGTGTGAAGATAGAACCTATAGAATGGGAGAAAATCTTTGCCACCTGTCTATGTTGTTAATTTCTAGGATATACAAAGAATTCAAAAAGCTTAATACACACACACACACACACACACATGAAAAAAAAAAACAATCAGTAAAGGGGCAAAGGAACTGAATACACCCTTATCAAAAGAATAAATATGAATAATCAATAAATATGTGAAAAAATGTTTAACATTTCCAGATATTAGAGAAATACAAATTAAAATGACACTGAGATTCCATCTCACTCCAGTCAGAGTGTCAAGTGTCAAGAATACAAGTAACAAATGCTAAAGAGGATGTGGAATGCTTATATACTGTTGGTGGGATTGTAGATTGTTGTAACCTCTCTGGAAAGCAGTATGGAGATTCCTGAAGGAATGGAACCACCATTTAACCCAGTTATCCCACTCCTCAGTATTTATCCAAAGGACTTAAAATCAGCATACCACAGTGACACAGCTACATTAATGTTTATAGCAGCTCAATTTACAATAGCTAAGCTATGAAACTAACTTAGGCATCCTTCAGCAGATGAATGGATAAAGAAATTGTTGCTTAGGGGAACACAATGGAATGTTATTTAGCCATAAATAAGAATGACTTTATGACTTTTGCCTGTAAATGGATGGATCTGGAAAAAATTATGCTAAGTCAAATAAACAAATTTCCCCAAAACAAAAATTCTAATTTTTTTGCTAATAAGTGAAAGCTAAACGATGTAAAGTGTTGGAGGATAAGAAGAGAAGTTTAGTATATTAGATAATGGTGATCAAAAAGAAGGGATGCGAATAGGAATAGGAAAGACAGTAGAAGGAATCTAACATAATTTTCCTATGTACACATATAAAAATAACTAAGTGAATCCCCTCATCATGCCCACCCACAAGAATAGGATCCTAATTAGAATACAATATATCCCATGCTTGTATAATTTCATCACAATGGATTCTACTGTCATATAGAACTAAGAAGAACCAATAAAATTAAATAAAATATGAAATTGTTTGAAGAGCAAGATAAGTTTATCCTGTTAGAAACATTATATAATATATACATGTATCAAAATCTTTATTGCATAAGTATGTACAATTTTTATTTTAATTATTAAAACTAAGTTTAAATTTAAAAAACAAAAATATTCAAGCAGGATTGTTGTTGCTATTTGTTATTTTAATAATATACATAAATACCATAAAACATTTGAACTCAAATTTACTAGTAAATATTTCCTTTAGTTGTCTACCTCATTTCATTTCAAAAGTTTCTCTCATACCACCAGTATTGGATTCACTAGAGAGCTTGCTACATACTCAGAAAACCCAGCTCCATCCCAGAACTATTTATTGAATCACATTCTGCATTTTAGTAAATCTCTGATTCATGGTTGTGCAATTAAAATTTGAGAATTCCCCTTCTTAGTCATCATAACTTTCTCATATGAGATATATATATATATAATTTAGATTATGATATAAAAATAACAAATGTATAGTCTTGTGTTGATGCCTGAATTTTATATTTTATTTCATAAATGTGGAGTATATACACTCTTTTTGGACTTATGTCACTTTTTCTTCAGAGGTAGATAATGGTAACACTGTGTTTAAAAGTATCTTTATAAATAAGTAAAGTCATCACTTACATGAGAATCCTTTTACAAACTCTCAGCTCAACTTTATTTTGTTTTTTAAGAGAGAGTGAGATGAGAGAGGGAGAGAATTTTAATATTTATTTTTTAGTTTTCGGCAGACACAACATCTTTGGTTCTTTTTTATGTGGTGGTGAGGATTGAACCCGGGCCGCACGCATGTCAGGCGAGCGCACTACGCTTGAGCCACATCCCCAGCCCTCAGCTCAACTTTAGTTAGATTACAAACTCTGAATTATCATATGGTCAAGTTGCTATTTATTTACCTATTCTTACTTCAGGAACTGTTGACATTCAGGGATGTGGCCGTTGATTTCACTGAAGAGGAGTGGGAATGCCTGCAGCCTGCTCAGCAAAAATTATATAGTGATGTAATGTTAGAGAACTACAGAAACATGGTGTTCTTGGGTAAGTATAACTAATTTTTAATTATTGTTATTTAATTTTCTTCCCTTGAAGATATTTCTGGGAAGTTCTCTGCAAGAATGAGTTTTAGATTTGTGCTTTCAAGAAAAAGGCATTGTTTGGTACAGATAAATGTTAATGATATTCCTTTGAGTCTTTAATCTCTTCCTTTCTTGGTTAGTTATATATTCTTCACTTTACATAAGTGGTACTTAGAGGAATTCAGTGATGTAAAATATTGTGGCCTACATATAGCATTGGACACATTGAGAGCCCCAAATGTCAAGGAGGACGTCAAACTTCAAAGTGTTGATGGAGAAGTTATCCACCAGAAAATATTTTTTAGAAGCTTAGGTTTATTTCTCTTGTCATTGAACACATATGCCCTATGTTTATCATGCTTTCAAATTCTTTAAAGTCTCCTTTTTTCTCCAGTGATGTACCAGTATATTCAAATTAACCACCAAAACCCGCCTTAGCTTATGAGGGTCAGCATGATATTATTTGTGGGCCTTTAGGAAATTGATGCATATTTTTGGAGAACTCTAGGTCAAACCATTGTAATAAATTAATGCTGAGAGCCACAGCTCAGTCGGAATGGCCCCTGGCATTTTGCCAATAGTATTGGTTGAGAGGCAAGCCACTAAGACGATGCTGGATTGATTCGGTTGTATATTAGACCTTTACTGTCCGCCTCGGCCTGCTACTATGGAGTTCTCGAGCTACTTTGGACTTCTCGTGGGGATTCCCTGAGGGTTCCCATTGGTTGGGGAAGTGTGGGAGGAGGGATTTTGAGAGGAGGGATTTCGGGTTGGTGGTTCCTGGAGGAGCCATGTGGCATTCGGGAGAGTTCCCAGGGAGCCTGTGTGGAGTGTGCTGGTGGAGTTCAGAAATAAAGTTTGTTCCTGCTTCAGTGGCTCGTGATTTGTGCCCAGCCAGACTGCGGCAAATTAATATTATAAAGCAATCTCTCCAATATTATTTATATATTTATTCATTAAAATTTCCTTATCAGAGCTCTTTATAAATACTTGTAATGGATTTTCTGTAAAGTGAAGATCAAGGTTTATAATGAATGCTCTTTTGGGATCTATAGTCACAGTTGCAAATTGTAGTTACATAAAAAGGTTTGTAAAATAGTAAATCTGTGGATATATACAATTTTGTTTGTTAAATTTTCTTTTTCTTCCATTTTATTGAATAGGTCTTATGTTGTGGAGTAGGTTTTCTCACATAATTTAGTACTGTTTTATTTTTATCCATATTTTATGATTAGATGGCAATTTCCATTATTTCACAAATTAGGACAATGTAAGTTTAAATTAAGATATGCATGATCCTTGTTTCTGTTGCCAATAAAATTACATGTGCTTTTACTTGCTTGCATAAATATTATACCCTTTTAATGACATTTATATTTTATCTGGATTAGTTTTTTATCCTACCTATGAACAGAGTAGTGTAAATTTTCTATATGTTAATGTACCTGGGGATAAAACCAGGCACGCTCTAATAATGAGCTATATGCCCCAGCCCCTTTCTATTTATGTTTGGAGGAAGGTTCTCATTAAGTTACTGAGGATGGCTTTGAAATTGCAATCTTTCTGCCTCAGAATTCCTAGTACCCGGATTACATGCATGCACTTTATTTATATATTTATGAGTTTTTTCTTATGTATTGGGTAAAGAGATTTCAATGGTAGCTTTAAAATATTTTGCAATTATTTTTATATTTTATGTGTTATTTGAAATTTTAATTGTAATTAAATCCACAAAACAAAACTTACTGTTCACCATATCAAATATATTGTTCAGTAATGTTAATTCAAATTGTTATGTAATATATCTATAAAAAGTTTACATCTCAAAAATCAATAAATAAATTCTTATGTAAACAAAGGCTCATTTCTGTCTTCTCCCCTCAGTAATGCCATTCTCATTTCTGTTCAGAAAGTTTTTGTTTGTCTGTTTGTTTGTGTTTTGTTTTGTTTTGTTTTAGGCATCTTATATAAGTAGAATTCTGCCATATTTTTCTTTTTGGTAGGGACCTATTTCAGTTAACCTAATATACTGAAGATTTATCCTGATTATAGATTTTACAGAAATTTATGGATTTTTTTTTAACATGAAAAATATTCTGTAGTTTCTATATTACAAATTGCCTCATCCACTTATTTCAAGGAATATTTGGTTTGCTTTCTCATGGTAGCTCTTTTAGATAATACTGTAACAAACAATGGCGTGCAAATGTCTTAATTTGCTACATATGCAAGAGATTATTACACTCCCAATTTAATATGCCTATCTGTTTAACTTGATGTCAGTACTACCCATTGAATATTGTAGCTTTTAATGTTTTTAAATCATGACACAACATTCTCCCAATTTTGTTTATATTTTGAAATTCTGGGGGCTTTCATACAATTTTGAGATTCCATAAAATTTCTGGAATATGTTTTTCTGTTTGCAAAAAAAAGAAGTGGGAGTTTGATAGAAATTTAGATGGAGTCTCCAGCTAACTGAGGCGTACAAAGGGTTCTTAATTTTATCTTTCAATTCTGGAACAAGACCATGTTCAATATTGTTCAACCAATTGCCACGTATTTCTGGATTTTTTTAATATTTATTTTTTAGGTGTAGATGGACACAACACAATGCCTTTATTTTTATGTGGTGCTGAGGATTGACCCGGGTCACGCCCATGCTAGGCGAGCGCTCTACCACTGAGCCATAATCCCAGCCCTTATTTCTGGATTTCTGAACATCCCTTCCACTTTTGATTTCTAACTTTATGCTATGATATTTACAAAATAATTTTACTATTTTTATACCTATTAACCTTTGTTTTATTCCTTATCAGGGTCAATCCAGTTTAATATCCCATTTGCTATTGAGAACATTTAGTATATAAGTCAAATTCATTTAAAGTATTTTTCAAAGTTTTTGTTTTGTGATTACCATTTTGTTTGACTTTTTTTTTTTTTTTTTTTTTTTTTACAGTAAATGGAGATTGGTATCTCCTAGTATTATAGTGTTACTTTCTATTTCTGTATTTACTTTTTCCAATCTTACCTTTTTATGTCTGGAAAGTATGATATGAGTTGAAAACATGTCTATTCTCATGACAGTATTCTAGGGAAAAGTCTTTTTTATCTTTGTATAATCTACTTTGCCTCTTTTTAATTTTTTTTAATTTAAAGTATATTTTATGCCATATAACTTCTTGTTTTAAATGGTTTCTGTATCATAATTTGGCAACCCCAGCTTTTTTTTTTTTTTTTTTTTGGTCACTTTTGTATGTAACACTCATATTCTTTTGCTTTCATCTACTTCTTTCCTTAGATTTAGAGTTCCCTATAGATTACATTCAGTTGAATTTCTTTCAGATTTATTATTTTTATTTTTTAAAATTTTTATTTGTTCTTTTTAGATATACCATAGTAGATATATGTATTTTGACATATTTTACATACATGGAATATAACTTTCCATTCTTGTGGTTGTATAAAATGTGGAGTTACACTGGTTGTATATTAATATATGAATATAGAAAAGTTATTTCTGATTCACTCTACTTTCTTATTCCCATCCCACTCTCTTCCCTTCATTCCCTTTTATCTAATCCAAAATGAACTTCTATTTTTGCCTACCTTATTGTGTGTAAGCACCTGCATATCAGAGAGAACATCAGCCTTATGAAGTAATATTTTACTACCTCTACATTTAGCATACAATAGTCACTTCTAAATAGTCACTTCTATGCAGACTAAATTTTTCAATTACGGACTCAATTTGTCTACTACATACATAACAGTCTTGAATAAACTACACCCATGTACCAATAGTCCTAATTTGAAAATGTCTTCAAAATATAAGCATTTTGGCCCTCACCAACCTTGTGCACTATAATGCTAACATTTTCAGAAGACAATCCTTCCCAATAATTTTAACATAAAATATACAAAAGTGGTTTACTAATTATACTTTTGTCATACACTGGCAACCTCTTTGACATCTAGAAAAGCTAGATGTAGATTAGGACTTGTTGATCCTTTATATACACTAAGTACACAGCACAGTAAAACAAAACCCACAGACATAGGAACAGTGGTTACTCTTGCCTCATTGTAAGCACACTGGCATGGTGCTCCAGAGAATCAGCACACAATATGTATTACTCAACAGGGGTTTTGGCTATTTCCCCACTCCCCCACAAAAAAATTTTATATGAATTTTTTAAAAAATTACACATGTGTTATATATTACCACTTCTACTTTTGACATATATTAAGAACTTTAGAACATCTAGAAAGCTTAGATATTTCTAAAAAGGTATTTAGCATTGTCAACTGTATATATAGTGATGAGGAGTAAAATACGCATACAAAACAATGGTTACAATATGAAGAATTTCTTTTACATATAGCCAGTCTGGCACAGGACAATTTCTTCTTGTGGTCCAAGGCTTCTTCATGTCTTCTAATCCACTCAAAAGATGTGGACAAGTGCCACTCCTAGATATGGTCTAACAACTCCATTTCAAGGTCACTTCCAGAAGATATTTCTGATTTTTTAAAACAAATGGCCATTTACAAGACATTATTTTGTAACTCTATTATATGTCATCAAACGTTTACATTTAGAATGTCCAGATGTGGCAAAAGTTTTAGAGCAGCTTTTTCATATTATATACACAGGCCTTGTACAACAGGCCAGTAAATCTACCTGAAATGTGGTAGACATTTTCAACTGATCAAATATGATATGTTACCCTACAGTTTCTGTCTTTGGTAGAATAAACACCAAATACCCAAGGGTGTTCACCCTTCCACCCATCATGCTCCAGGGCTTCATTCACCTTCCAGGATGGATAAGGCCTTTGTTTACCTTGCCAGGACAAGTTGTATTCTCGTGGAGCCCTCCTGGAATGGTCACAGAGAGCCCTAGTCTGTGCTGATGGGCTGCGGAATCCATCATCCACTCACCTTCTTGGGCCCTCAAAG